ACTGATGTCGTGCCTTCCGTGACCCTTGTCAGGGGGCGAATGCAATACACGGCTCTTAGCCTTATTCGCGACTCGATCCTAGATAGGGTTTGAGTTCGACTCATGACTGAGTCTCTCGTGAATAGTTATTGAGACAGGGTTCTCAATGACCGCTAGTCATACTAGGTTGATAGTGAAACATCGCGCTAGATATTTAGCCAGCGTGGAGTACTTCCGCGCTACTAGATAAATGCTAGACGAATCTTCCACGCGTTCCGTTTTTGGATCGTGGAGTGAGTAGGATTGCTACCGCAACCTACTCTATCACACTCTACAGTCTCCCGCGGGAGTTCAGATCTACGATCCTTTGATTGTGTATCTCTCTCGTTGATTAGTTTTCATAGCTTTCTAATCCTCTCATAACTTTCATTCTCTCAAACTCAAAACACTCGAAAGATCTTTACACTAGCTTTTAGCGTAGTGCATTAACCCTCCTCCTTCTCCCCTCTGGAGCCCCTTCAACTAATCACTTTTACGGGTACCACAACTCAAAACATGTGCAACTAGATGCTCTTGCCCAGACTAGCTTAACCCTCCTCCTTCTCCCCTCTGGAGCCCCTTCAACTAATCACTTTTACGGGTACCACAACTCAAAACATGTGCAACTAGATGCTCTTGCCCAGACTAGCTTAACCCTCCTCCTTCTCCCCTCTGGAGCCCCTTCAACTAATCACTTTTACGGGTACCACAACTCAAAACATGTGCAACTAGATGCTCTTGCCCAGACTAGCTTAACCCTCCTCCTTCTCCCCTCTGGAGCCCCTTCAACTAATCACTTTTACGGGTACCGTCTCACGAAGCTGTCGGACCGATTAGTCATGTTTACTATAGCAAATACAGTACTATACTACATCTGTAGGGTGCAAGTACAAATCCTACATGGCTGTAGAAAGCCTACATGCAATGTACATACCTATTGCACGTAGGCTTTCTACAGCCGTGTAGGAAGCCTAAGTGCAATGTACGTACCTAGTGCACGTAGAATTTCTACAGCTGTGTAGGAATCCTACGTGCACTAGGTATGTAGCTCTCTACATGTTTGCACGTACTGACGTCATCGTCATGGTTCAACGTTTGGTTGGGTCCAAAAGGTGGTAGACGAGGAAGTTCATCGGCGTTCATCCGACTGAGGTTGTTGACATAAGCCCGAGTAGACATATCAGCAGGCTTACGCATCTTGCGGCGCATGAAGCGTTTCTGCTTTTCAAGAGCCTTGTAGGGACAGACCGCTTCGACACAGGCATTTATGCCAAACGTAATGTCAGTGTCGTCCAAAGCAGGCTGAGCTGCTCCGTTCCAGGCATTCTGGAAACGTGCTTGGAAAGTGGCTTCGTCTTCACCGCCACGTACATCGCGTGGAGGAATCGCGTTGACTGCAATCTGGCGCAAGGCATTCCAACGTATTTCACGGTGGCCTGCACAGCTAGATTCGTAACTGCTCTTGGCAGAGCTAGATGTCATCTCCTTGAGGAAGTTATGTTTGTCGTCAGGCGTAGCAATGGCTGGCGAGCCCAACGAAGACCTTCTCCATACATCCAGCTCACTTGATGGTCTGACGTGGAGTCTCAGATCCATTGATGATTTGGACCTTGAAGGTGTACTTGGCTCTGGCGCTGTTAGCATTCTGCTGGAACAGTGCGAAGTTTGTAGGTGTAGAGCGAGAATCGTCGAAGTTCGATTCATCGTCGAGGTCGATGAGAGGAAGATGGGTTTGTCGCGCGCTTAGAGCTCGAGCTGGTGTATGCGTCTTTGGCAATCTTTAGGTGAGGAATAGGTTGAGGGTAGCTGAAAGCTTTGTGTTTTTAACAAAATGCACTACGCTAAAAGCATGGTAAAGACTTTCGAGTGTTTTGAGTTTGAGAGAATGAAGTTATGAGAGGATTAGAAAGATATGAAAACTAATCAACGAAGAGATCCACAATCAAAGGATCGTAGATCTGAACTCCCGCGGGAAACTGTAGAGTGTGATAGAGTAGGTTGCCGTAGCAATCCTACTCACTCCACGCATCCAAAAACGGAAAACGGTGAAAGATTCGTCTAGCATTTATCTAGTAGCTTGGAATTACTTCCACGCTGGCTAAATATCTAGAGCGATGTTTCATCATCAATCCTTAGTATGACTAGAGCGGTCATTGAGAACACCTTGTCTCAATAACTATTCACGAGAAGACTCAGTCATGAGTCAACTCAAACCCAATCATCTAGGATCGAGTCGCGAATAAGGCTAAAGCCGTGTATTGCATTAAGCTAGTCTGGGCAAGAGCATCTAGTTGCACATGTTTTGAGTTGTGGTACCCGTAAAAGTGATTAGTTGAAGGGGCTCCAGAGGGGAGAAGGAGGAGGGTTAAGCTAGTCTGGGCAAGAGCATCTAGTTGCACATGTTTTGAGTTGTGGTACCCGTAAAAGTAACCAGTCAAATGCACTCCAGAGGGGATTATGTACAAGTACATGTACATGTACATGTTGCTATGGTATATATCCTTTCAAAATATCTTAAAACCAGGGTGGGAAGCAAAGATGCGTTATCTTAAAAATGGGTGTCCCGGGTCGATTTCGATGACGTCAGTCGTGGTTCGTGTAGACTTTGTACCACACGCTCCGTATGTAGCCTGTGGTAGGCGTGTAGAATCGCCTACCACACGCTACGTACGGAGCGTGTGGTATGTGTGTCGTAGCCGTGTAGGATTGGTACCACACGCTACAGAGGTAGTATCTTACTGTATTTTCTATAGTAAACATGACTAATCGGTCCGACAGCTAGTTTGAGTGGTACCTTGAGTACGGTATAGTTGGTCTTGCCGGTCGCACACTTTGTTGCTGTACCGTTTGTTGCTGGTGGTGGTGGCTCGGAGCCGCTGGGTCATCGTGTCACGTCATTGTGCTGGTCATGCGAACACCAAAATGAAAGATTGGATTTTGGATCCTTCACTCCAAAGTCACAAGTCACAACACAAAAAGAAAGCAAAAGACACAATACTAAAAGAAGACAAGCAAGAGCTGTCTACATTAGCAACCGTACAACTAGTAATTAAAACAAGAAACAAAAAACAAGATGCCGAAAAGCGAAGAAGAGCTCCGCAAGGAGCAAGAAGAAGCCAAGAAGCAACTGGATCAAATGTTTGCCCAGTCTCGGCCCAAGAATCTTCCCGAAGGTCTTGGAAAAGGTGTCAGCAACATTGTTGGAGGAGCCGTAGGTGGTGCTGGAATTGCAGTCTTGGCACCCACGGCAGGCTTGGCCATGGGATTGCAGAATGGTGGGTTGATCGGAGGTGTTTTCGGTGTGGCCGGTGGTGCCGTGGTGGGTGTGCTGGGAGCGGCGGCGATTGTGGTCAGTGGCACGGTCACTGGAGTCACACAAATCATTCGCGGTGTCGCGGCGGTCCCCTCATCCATCACGGCACCTCGTCAAGGAAAATGGTGGAACGAGGCATCTCATAAATGGATTGCCACGGATCTACCCAAGGAAATTGCCGAGGTTCCGGCCAACGATGATGATTTGCTCAAGCATTTGGAAGATGAATTAGATGCCGCTGGAAAGAAATCTGAAGGAGCTGGTGGAGAAGTCAAGGAAACCTTTTGTGAGTACAATACATATACATTGTTGGGTGCCAAAAAAGTGCAATTTTTGGACATGCCAGTTCGCCTGACCATTTATTTCACTTTCTCATTTCAATATTCTGTATTGTTGTTTGTGATCTTTGTCGTGTTTGTATAAATATTTTCAATCAGACTACGATGTCTTGGAGGTGGATCCCAAAGCCGAAGCAGGTGCCATTAAACGCCAATACTACAAACTCGCCCGTGTCTATCACCCTGATAAATGTCCGGGAGATGAGGCGGCCGCCAACAAATTCAAGGACGTGGCAGAAGCCTACCAAGTCTTGAGTGACCCCACACTACGGGCCAAATACGATACCGAAGGAAAAGATGCCTTGTCCGGCGACAAAACATCCGTCGATGGTAGTGGCCAGCCCGACCCATCTCTCTTGTTGGCATTTCTGTTTGGATCGGATCGGTTCAATGACTATTACGGTCGCCTTGCTACCAGTACGTCGGCCATGTTGGGAGATTCACCCAAACTCTCCATGGAACAGGCTCGAACGTTGCAGGAACGTCGTTGTACAAGATTGGCAGCGAAATTGGCCGCCAAGATCCAGCCGTGGGTGGCAGAAGATTTCGAAGCTTGCAAAGTCATGTGGCAAACCGAAGCCGAAGATTTGTGCACGGCCAATTATGGTTGGGAGCTGGTGCAATTGCTGGGAATGGTAAGACTTCGAATTTTTATTGTTGTTTTGTGGACAGTGCATGCATGCATGCAAGGCAGAATCTCATTGTTTGTATTTGCACAAAAACTCTCTCTTTAGGCCTACGAAGTTTCCGCCGAGCAATTCTTGGGTTCCATGGATTCTGGAATTGGTTTGCCATCCATTGGGAAATGGGCCACCGGCCAAAAGGCCAAATCCAAAAGGTCCAGAGCTGCTCAAAAGAATCAAATGGAAATGCTCATGGCCACAATGGATGCCATGAAGGTACAGGCAGAATTCCAAAAGAAAATGGCAGAGGCAAAGAATGACGGCGAAAAGATGAAGTTGCAAAAGGAAATGGAGGTTGCCTCTCAAAACACAATGCTTAAAATCATCTGGAGTACCACGGCTGTTGACATTACTGCGACCATTCATGGTACGGCATGATCGCTGTGCTTTTTGCATTTTTACAAAATGACATTCCAATTGAGCTAACTTACGTCTTCTCTCAATGCTTTTTCAGAAACTTGCCAAATGGTCTTTTTTGATCAATCGGTCGACAAGGACTGCCACAAACGACGAGCCCACGCTGTCAAGAATTTGGGACAAATCTTTCAAGCCTGCCCAGAACCACCAGTTCCTGAAGGAGGCAAGAAAGACGGTAGGTTCTTCCTTGATGCTTGTCAACTTAGCATGGATGCATGCATGCATGCATGCATGCATGCATGATTGCAGTAGTTTCTCACTGTTATCTCTTTTTCTGCGTTTTCTGTAGCTCGCACGCTGTTCGAAGAAGCGGCTCTTGAGGCAACCGTGGAAACCATGAAACGAAAGGACGAGTCTCAGTACAACGCCTCTTTTAGAAAATAAACATCCAGTAGTGTTGTCTATGCCTCTCTTTCTATAAATTTAATTGTATATGTAACTATGCTGGTTCCGTTGTCCTTCTTGCCTTTGCTCTTTTTGTTTACGGTGGTGTCACTCGGTCAGTATGACTTGATCGTCGTCACCGCTCAAAGGTGACAGGTACGGGGAATCAAGCAAGGAAACCCAATTTGCCTCCGTTCGACTTGGCCAGTTTGATCAAGTTGGTCGATAGAGTCTTGGGCGCCTCCTTGACGAACTCTTCGATATCAATATGATTTTCAATTCTCACGTTGGCACGTTCGAAGATCCCTTTGATCTGCCTCTCCTTAATCCAAGTGAAACCGAGTGAGTGCAGCATTTCTCCCAATTGGGTTTCGTTGATCAAGCCATCGCCATCGGTATCCACAGCCAAGAAAAGAGATTTCAAAACAATATCCCCTAGGGGGGTGTCGGCCGTGTTTACGAACGCCCGGATGACCATGGTATGAAGCGAGATCACCTTTCCTCGCAAGAAATTGAACTTTTGCTGTCCCATGCTATCTTTCACTAGAACGACTAGAGGAGCCAACGGGCCGCCCTGGTTCTGGTTCTGCCCCATTGCCAAGTTCCGGGTCCTTTTGTTTCCGGCAACATCAAACTTCAACTCTTCCATTGACAAGGATGCAAAGAAAGGTGATGCACCATACTCCAAGTCCTCGCCAACTGGCTCCTCTTTACTGTCTTCCTCCCAGCGGCTTGAGGACATGTCGGGGAAAGTCGCAACGTGCAATGCGGATGCCCCGCGAGAACTGACAGTCTTGGAGTATCCTGGCGCCGTGCCGGCAAATGCTCCAGCAGATGTGGATGCGGCACTGGCAAAGAGGATGATGAGAGAAAGGCAAGCCATGTTTTCGAGTTTGGTTCGTGTGCTTTTGAAATTGTGAGATCCAAATTGTGAGGAGAGACGAAGTTGGAGTGAGAAGAGGGTTGGTGTAGTCTACTAGTATTGCCCTTTTTACCGGTCATTGAAGACGAGAGAGGAGCAGAAGATTTTGCCAGAATGCCAGAATGTACGGTGCCGGTACGCCGGTACGTACGGTACGGACTACCGGTACCGTACAGTGCATGGGTGCGAACGTGCGAACTTGCAACTTGCGTTACGAAGAACCCTATCAGCAGGGAAGGTGGCCGGAGGAATGTTCGTCAACAGAAAGCAGCACTGAGAATGATGACTGTCACTAAATCATTGTGCTTGGAAGAATTTGAAGGGCAGTTTGCCAGTGACCAGCCGTACTGATGGCAGAGTTTCTGAGTTTCTGCTTCAACCGTACGAGCTCGCTACCATACGATGCTTTGAAGAGCTCTTTGAAGAGCTTTTGTGAGGGCCATACCGTAGCCCTTGCAAGACCAGAAATAAATGGTAGCAAAAGAGAAAGAAGCAGCGTGCTGGGAGCTGCAGGGTTACCGGTAGCATTGCTGGATATACCAGTAGCAGTACATGTAGGAGCCAGAGAGTGCCACTATTGGATGACCAGGAAGCAAGCCTAAGCAAGCTAGCTAGTGATGAAAAAGCCACTTCCAGTTTCGAACACATTGTAGTTTGTGGCTTCTTCTTCTGGTTCTTTCAAACTGGCTGATTTTGCTTTGGCAAATGATTTGGGCGAAGAATAGTTGCAACACTTGGCGATCACAGCAGAGAACAAATCATTGAATTCAACAAGACCCTGTTCTTGCGAGAGAACTGATTTGTGTTAGAGAGATAGGTGATGCTTGACAGCTAGCTATGGCATAGCTGTCAGACAGACAGACAGACAAAGATCTGTCATTGATGATCTTGGTGGACATCTCCTCGCTCAGTTCTCCCAGAAGGCAAGCCCTCGTAGCGTTTGAGCGACAAGCCCTCCCTCGTGGCGTTTGAGCGACACATGGACGACAACAACAAGACCATACCGGTACGATAAGGCAAGCAGTAGTTCGCAGCAGCACCAGCAGCAGTACCGGTAGTAGTATGGTACCGTAGTAGTGCTGCTATGCATACTGTAGTACTGTAGCAGGCTGACTGACGACGGACCGAATGATTCGGTAATCCTCCTACTAGTAACTAAATCCATTTCTGAAAACGCTCTCAAAAATGGATTACTAGCTACAGTTGTTTGCGTCAGGATTGTCTACATGTAGTAGGATTCGATTTATCCACACCATGTTAACAGCTCACTGGCTTCCACATTTTAAGCCGCGCACTTCTTCAATTCTCCTCAAACCCCATGGAGCAGCAAACGAGCCTGTTGTTGAGGACAACCAATGCTTGTTGGCTCCACCTTCCTTCTTCTCATCGTGTCCTCTTCCTTTTTCTCATCTGTGGCAGTACGACAAGGCTGCGGTGTTTGAAGGCAACGAGGAGTGGCATAGTGGTGCACACTAGCTAGCTGCTGCCTGTGAGAGTTTTGTTTGTTTGGCGGCACAGTTCTTTATCTTTATCTTTTTCTCATTCCGAGCCAAAGAGACAACCACAACAACAATGGCCAGTCATCATCAGAATCGTGTGGGCGCACTGACACTGATACCGTTCTTGGAGGAGTCGGCTTTTGCAGGGATTCTGGGTCAGGAACGAGAACGTCCTTCCTTGCTAGTCCAAGTGATGAGCTTTGTGCCGAATGGAAAGCTTCCTCCTCGAATGATGATCCACGATGGCAACTGCAGTGTCCTGGCGTTCCTTACTAGCGAAGCATCACAGAGATCCGTCCGCGACAATACCATGTCAGACAGTCAACCGGAAGATTTCGATGGGACTCCAGAGAAAGGTTGTATCCTCCGCATTCAAGACTACAAATGGACCACGAAACGTATGATTGCACAGGATAATTCCACAGAATTGTGTTTGGCCATTGAGGGCAAGGTGATCAACTTGGGCGGCCATGGCATTGGACTGCGACAAAAAATAGTTGACATTCATGACACAACTCGAGTGAAACAGGCCATGTTGTCTATCCATCAGGACGTTCCAACACTTCAAGCAAACCTGAAGAGACAGTCTCCACAGAAAGGCGGAAATTCCGAGTCACCGGAACGCAACACAACCACCGAAAGGGGATTTGTCGATGAAGATGGGAATGGTCTGGGTAGTGTGGGGGACATGCTGATGGATCAAACGGAACTAGTTGAAGCCAGCGAGGAGAGTCAAGCAGCAACAACTCTAACATCTGTCGACAAAGAGGGGGCGCCACTGGTTGACGGTGAAAAGCTACCGACGAATCCAGGCAATCCTGACCTCTTTGATCGGATATTGGAGAATGGCGGAGAAACCATTCAGGAGGATCTACCCGCATCTCCCGACAACGAAGAGGACACACCGCTGGGACAGCTTGAAGGGTTATTGCTGAATCAACAAGAAACAGACAAGATACTCAACACTGTTGAGGGCGATCGATCTGCGTCTCCCAACAACGAAGAGGACATGCCTTTGGGACAGGTTGAAGGCTTATTGATGAATCAAGAAGAATCAGACAAGTATGACAAGATAGTCAACACTGTCGAGGGTGATCAATCTACGTCAAGGTCTCCGGATAGTGAAGAGGAAACGCCTTTGGGACAGGTTGAAGGTTTATTGATGAATCAACAGGGAACAGACAAGTATGACAAGATAGTCAGCACTGTTGAGGGTGATCAATCTACATCAAGGTCTCCGGACAGTGAAGAGGAAACGCCTTTGGGACAGGTTGAAGGTTTATTGATGAATCAAGAGGAAGCCGACCAATACTATCGAGTTGTAGAAATTGCGGGGGTTCAAGCACAACAAGAGGAACTACTCGATGATGAGCCGTCAGAAACCCACCCGCAACAAGGAGGAGCATCTGCTGCGTCATCTTCGGAAACGCAACACTCCGCCAAAGAAAAGCGCAATCTCACCGAAACAGCAGAGCAAAGAGATGTGAGTGCTATCGGTTGGCAGCTCTATGATGAAGCAGGAAAAGTAACACGTCATGCATCGGACGTCGAAGAAATGCAAGATTTGATGGCTCGTGCTCTTGATATCCACGAACAATCAGTTGACGTTGGAGGCAGCGACGAGAAGATGGATGACGAGGATGACGCCGCAGGTGTTGCAGATTCTAGAAAGGTAAACAACAAACCGGCCGATAGGTCACCGGGAGCAGGCTTGGTTGGAGAAGCCCCGCGCACAGTTGCAGCAGCGGCAACGACACGTGCTGCAAAAAGAATTAATCCATATCGCAAGCGTTCGCAGAACGGAACGCCCCGCAAAGCAGTTGACCCTGAAAAAACACAGAAATTGCCTGAGAATCCTGTGGAAAGGATCCCAACAGGCCCACATATTGAGCACCTGATGGCATCGCCAACGAACGGGCTGTCACAACCAAGGGGAATTAGTGATATGCTCTGTTCTGACAACTCGGACGACGAGGAAAGCGATGTAGAGGGCGATAAAGGCAATGCCAATGATAAGAGCGTTCATCGTCAGAGCAGCCAAGGCGAAAAAGCAAGCAGCATCGAACTCATTCCTGACAGTCGCCAAGAAAGAAGGGACGAAGCTCACGCGAAAGTCTCGGCGACTAGCTGTGACAAGACGCGCAGCAATCGCCATGGAGACACGGCCGACCCAATGACCGAAGGCTCAAACACAAAAAGTGCTGGGACGGACAGGGGCGGCAAACCGCCTGCAGATTGTGAGACAAGTGGCTCGAAGGAACCGAGCTTCGCCACAGAAGACGTCGAAGCCGCTTCACACACAGATCCGATTACGCAATCTGGCGACGATAAAGGGCAGCCAACAGCTCATACGAATGCAGAATCTTCTGCAGGATCACAGAATGAAGAAGGCGCGCCGCACAACAAAGAGCTGGCAGAAACCGGCCTGGGCAGCGTGGATATGTCGCCTTCGAAAGAGACAAATCCCCTTCCAGATAAGGAACGCGAGATGACTTCAAATGGCAAACCGCATACGAAGAAGTCGAGTCTCGAAAACGGAATCGCGGTAATTGGATCTGAAGAAGATCCCAAATCTCTCGATGCAGACACCACACGTCTCAGGGGCCGGGACGATGCCGAAACTGCAATGGCCAAGCCTTCTCAAAAGCCATCCGCGAGGGCACAGCAGGGCGACTCTTCGGACAAAGACAATGAACTTGTCGAAAATGGTTCAACCAGGAGCACCAAAAACTCCAAGGATATCCACGAAAGCCAGCAAAGTAATGCTGTGGCACGAGCCTCTGTCAGTCGCAGGAAGGAACGGGACCATAATTCAGGCAACCTTGCACGACGGGGAGAGCGGAAGCAAGGTACGGAGGCTTTGCCTAAGGACAAAACGAACGACTCCGGAACCGATCAGACAAGCAAGGAGCGTCAGATTGAAGAAAACACTATTGACACTCGCAGCACGAAAAAGAAACATCGGCGCAGGCAAGGGGAGGTGGCACGAAGTCAACGTGAGGCAAGCCCTGTTGGAAACGTGCCAACTAGACGCATGCCAATGAAGGATCGCCAACCAGGTTCCCGAGCTAATCGCCGCCAGAAGCCATCTTATAAGTGTCAAGTCACACGTAATGCACTCCCAGGCGACCGAATGCGAGGTGTCTTGCCGACACAAAAGCCCAACGGTAGTCGTGGCGGCCATGGTGCATCCGCTAAAAATCAACAAAATCAAAAGAAGAAACGACGCTCCTGGAGAAGACGACGGGATGCTGTCGGAAGGAGATCAGCTGGAGAGGAAGCGCGGAATAGTGACTCTTCCAGAGAGGATGAGACGGCCTGGAACAGTGACGCTTCCAGAGAAGATGAACAGGCCTGGAACAGCGACGCTTCCAGGGCGAAGGAGGCGACCTGGGACAGTGATGCGTCCAGAGAGGAGGAAGATCAGGTTGAATGGCTTGACAGCGTCTCACTTAGTGACTTGACCAGCAGGCGTTCCGCGGGAAGAACCAACCGAAACGAGCAGAGAGCCGAGCGCTCTGGAACCCAGCGGCGTGCAAACAGAGGACCAGGTGTCGGCAGGAGGAAAATGCGGGGCAATAGTGAGGAAGAGCAAACCACCCGCCGCCGCCGCAATCGGTATGAAGAGGACAGTGCAGCATCGAGTTCACGCAATGTGGCATCAACTGCATCGCAGCGCGGGAAGCGGTCTCATGGAGCGACATCTGTATTGTCTCATCAGACTGCTCCACACCGCAGAGCCAAACGAAAAACCTCCTCGGCTCGCGATATCTCCCGTGTGAAAGCAAGGAGGACATTACAGAAGTATCCAGATGGAACCGAAGTGTGGAAAGAGTTTGCAAATCATGGCGTATACCATGGTATTCTGCATTACAGGAAGAAGACTGGCCGGTATCGTGTTCACTATGATGATGACGACAAAGAAGACTTATCAGAAGATGAAGTGGCAGCCCTTCTGGCTAAGTAGTATTGAGTCAGCTCCTTGAAGCCCGCTATTTGGGCGCTGGTCAGAAGGGAAAGCGCACCTTCCATGGCTTTCGACACGTACCGCTATACAGCATGTGCCGTGGCTCGGAAGTATGGAGCAGATTATGCGATGTACTATAGCCAGCCCGAGTGGCATCAGTGAAGCTTTGGAAAGAGGGAAGTAGTGCTGCTGAGCTGCTCGTTTTGCAAGGCATCAATCCGCTCGCAAAACGTGTAGAACTTCCGCCGCCTAATAGACTTGCACGGAGAGCAATGCTAACTACGTACTAGCTCTATATTATATTTCGGAGCCCAAAGAAAGACTGTTTCGAATGTGCGAAAACAAACTCTCCCTCAGCTAGCTACCGTAGTGGGGGGTTGAACCCATGGTGTCCTCTCTGGAGAGGACACCATGCGGCATTGTGTTCATTAGAAAGTCGCCTGTTTATGAAGTCTGCTCCCAGTGGCGCCAACTAAAGATAGATAAAGACTGTTACATAAGTTCGCACACAGTTATAATACATGTATGTACTCCTCTCTGCTTGAATTGCAAACTCAGTAGAAGAAACAAAACTTGGTGATGATGAACACATTCGTTAAGCGCTCCATAACGTTCTTAAGCAAAATGCTCTCCCTAGGAGGGTCGAACTCCTGGCCTTGCGATTAACAGTCGCACGCTCTACCAACTGAGCTAAGGAAGACACGATTTAAGCCGTGTTGATGTCTACGAATCTGAAATTAATGGATAAAAACAAATTGGATGCATCAAATAGCAGCGTTCTGCAACAACATGATTGCAAAGCTTCGTGCACCGCGGTTCTTCAGCCACAGACAGCAGCACACTTTGATCTTCGTCATTGGAACCATCCATAAAACAGTTCTCTGCTCCGACCGCTTCGTATTGAGTATCCGCATCACCACCCCAACAACACTGCCTACAATGACAAGTACCTTTGATGAGTTCCTGTCTGGGTGCCAGAAAGCTCTTCTCCAGGATGAAACAAATGGAGACAAGGCCGCATTGGCCAAGAAACTGGATGCCATGGAAGATATGACCAAGCGCTTCCGCGAGAGTCACGCTGCCAAGGATCGCCCTTCTCGTTGCCAAGGTTGGGAACATTGCAGTCTATCAATGGTCCCAACAGCAATGGTCCCAACAGCAAATGTACCCTTCGTGGTGTAACGAACTCTCATGTAATGGTGCTGCTGAGGGCGGCCACTTGGAACTGCTCCAGATTGTTCATGACCATGGATTTTCCGGGGATACATCCACGTGCGCCAGTGCTGCAAAAGGTGGAAAACTGGAGATTCTCAAAATCTTGCGGATTCGTGGATGCGGATGGAATAAGAGTACATGCTCAGAAGCTGCCAAAAATGGGCATTTGGATGTGGTGAAATGGGCTCATGAGAATGGATGTCGTTGGTGTGTAATGACTTGCCAATATGCTGCAATGAATGGACATCTCAATGTCCTGAAGTATGCCCATGAGAATGGATGTCGATGTGGCCATGGGGCAATTGAGTCCACCACACGTTCAGAACATGCCACATAGCACCACATCACTCGCACCACATCGTGGCCGACTGGCCCCTGTTCCAAAAGGCTCTGGATCCAATGATCCTCACAATCGTGCCATTCTGAAAACCAAAACACAAGCAAACACAGTTAGAATAGCAATAAAACCAAGGAGTGTCGGCCCACGTCCTGCCTCAGGCCTAGCCAACACTTTCACCAGTACTAGCGAAACAAGCCCTCGGCTAGCTTTCCCGTAAGTACTACCTCTTTGCACCCTTTGGCTGCCTCTTTCTCAGTTGCTACCCCCAAGACATCGTCATGGCGGCACCACTACCTACGTCCTTTCGGGGCTATGTGCTTGGCACAGCCAACCCCAACCAAGACGCACCTCAAGCCGAAGATACCATGTATCGACCACCAGTCCCCGGAGCCCCAGCTCCCGTGACTGCTGCCCAATGCTTTGCCATGGCCGAATCCCGAATCGTCCCAACATTCTTCCTCGGAAACTGTGGTAACACCAATAAGCCCTTGCCATTACTGGCCTTCTATTCCACGAACACCGCAGGCCGAGCTGACAACAACAACCACCAGTATGCCTTTGTGGGAGACCTTGACATGCACGAAACTATGCCACCTATCGTTGTCATAACTCAAGATGGCTTCGATGTCACAAATGTCGCTGCAACTGTTCCTAACTTAGCAACACTACAGAACGTCTGGGCCGCCCTCCCCGCTGACGAAGACAGGGTCCAACCTCCTGCCGACAATACTGACCAAGTCTTCACCCGGCATATGCACCCCATCCCATATCCCTATGTCAATCAGATTCTCCAAGCTCACATGGATCACAGGTTGTCGTGGCGGTACCTTGTTACCCAGATTTTGCAACCCATCAGCCTCATTGCGGCTGAACAAGATGCATACTCCGGGTTCGTCAATTGGGTACGCGTATCCAGCACCTCACGCCCCGATGGTGCCGCTTTTGGCCCTGCCGAAACAGCCATGGAGTTTGCCGCTGTCTATGGTCTTCCCCGAGCCCTTCAAGCCCGCCGTCCCATGCTTCTACGATACCTTCCAGGTATGGGACGCCCTACTGATCTCACCCAGGACCTTCGAACCCTGGTTCAAGAGCATCGGGCACTCCAACAATCCATTGGCCGCATGCAAGAACGCCCACAACGCCCTCTTTTAACAACCCATCCTCTGTTGACTGAAATAATTCTTAAAATTTCCGAGAGCACCACCGAAGCACAGCTTCCCACCATCTGGCATCAGTGGGGCCTCCACACAAAAGGACAGCATTTAACGGCCATCGAAAACGCCTGCCAATCCATTGCAGCCACCCGTCACTGGTCCATCCCTATTATCACCCCAGCCCTGGCCACTGACATTGCCACAGGACATCTCCTGGCAGAACACAACTCCGCCTTCAAACAGGGACTGTCTCCTATGCGTATTACCACCTCCATTTCCAACCCCGGGCTTTCAGCAGCCCAGCACACTAATAATCGTGCCTTTGCCCCCCTTTTTAGCGGGGGGGAGTACTGTGTTTTCCTTTATAATTCAATAAGATGGTTATACCGATTTCTTGCATCAAGGCTGCTTCTTCTGTGCTGCGACGATTCAGCGCGGGAGCTTGTTCAAGAGCAGTGACCTGTGACTTGTGATCATTGTGTGAGTGTTCGTCGTACGTGCTTCTCTCGGAAATGGCGTACCATCCATCGAGTTGG